GGCACCGGTCTACCCATTTGTTTTTGGAGGCACCGGTCTACCCATTTGTTTTTGGAGGCATTGGTCTACCCATTTGTTTTTGGAGGCACTGGTCTACCCATTTGTTTTTGGAGACACTGGTCTACTCATTTGTTTTTGGAGGCACTGGTCTACCACCACACTGCCTTTTAACACTGATCAGCTGTAGGGCGCGCGGGTGGTTGTGGTTATGGAGCGACGTGGAGTTCCCATGTAACACCTCTCCTGCGCGAGCTGCACTGGCTCCCGGTGGTCTTCCGAGTGCGCTTCAAGGTTCTGGTTATCACCTTTAAAGCGCTCCATGGCTTAGGACCTGGTTATCTATGGGACCGCCTGCTACCACCAATAGCCTCCCACCGGCCAGTACGCTCCCATAGAGGGTCTCCTCCGGGTGCCGTCGGCCAAACAATGTCGACTGGCGGCCCCTAGGGGGAGAGCCTTCTCTGTGGGGGCACCTACGATCTGGAACGAGCTCCCCCCGGAGATACGGAGGATCCCGGATCTGCACACCTTCCGTTGCGCGCTTAAGACTTTTTTATTTCATCAAGCTGGCCTGGCCTAAATCTTTCCCCTTTTTAAATGTAAATTTTAATTTGTTTTTAAATTATGGGGTATTTTAATTCAGCCAAATTATTTAATTCATTTTTAATTTATTTTAAATTTTTGTATTTATGTGTTTTATCTTGTGGCTGTTCACCGCCCTCAGTCCTTCAGGAGAAGGGCGGTATAGAAATTTAATAAAAAAAAAAATTCAAAGCCTCACAAATCTCTATTCATAAATGCATACTCATATTTTCAAACATAAGTCAAGCTGCTTTCAAGTCAACTTCCATACTTGGTGACTTCATGCGCATCCACATGAATGTTTTTGGGATAGCAGTATAGAAGTGTTTTGCCATTGTCTTCTTTTGGAATGTTATTTAAATTTCCTAATATACTCTGGAGGCGTGGTGGCTCAGTGACTAAGACACTGAGCTTGTTGATCAAAAGGTTGGCGGTTCAGCGGTTCGAATCCCTAGTGCCAGGGTGAGCTCCCATTACTTGTCCCAGCTTCGGCCAACCTAGCAATTTGAAAGCACGTAAAAAATGCAAGTAGAAAAATAGGGACCACCTTTGGTGGGAAGGTAACAGCGTTCCGTGCGCCTTTGGCATTTAGTCATGCTGGCCACATGACCACAGATATGTCTTCGGACGGCGCTGGCTCTTCGGCTGTGAAACGGAGATGACCACCGCCCTCTAGAATCAGGAACAACTAGCACATATGTGCGAGGGGAACCTTTACCTTTACTATACTCTACTGCTCTGGAACTATCTGATGTTCCTCCAACTAGGTACCAATGGATTGCGACCTTGCTTGTTTTTCAATTCAGCCAAGGTGAGCTATCTGCTCCAGATATATTAATGAATGGATGAGAAGAAGTCAGGGACAGAATGAAGAATGCAGTGGGAGTATATGGAACAAAGTTGCCCCGATATGTTACCTGCAGACCATGGCCATATCATCTATACACATTTACTAACTCGTAATCTGGCTTGTTTGGTTTTGAGTTGTTGTGTTGTGTGAATTAGCCAGTTGTAGTGTGGGAAGCCCCCCCCCATGAATGAAATATTTTGGGGAATATTAAAAAGGCAAGATAGAATATTTCCCCTAAAGGAGAAATGAAAAAAAAAAACCTTAAGGGAGGCAGAAACCAGCCCCAGCTTCCCTGCTCTAAGCAGAAACTGAGGAGGCTAACTTTTAGAAATGCAGATTTGGTAATCCATTCAGAAAGACTGGGTCAGGCAGAAACTCAAAGCAAGAAGCCAAAGGTTGAAATTAGCTCAGACAAACACCTAGGATTTGCTTTTCCCTTTGCTTATAGAGCCAGCCATGACCCCTACATGACCCCATAGGAATCCAGAAGGTATAAAACCCACCCACTCTAAACTCCATTTTGTCAGCTGCCCCAGAATCGCATGTGGTTGGTGGTTCTGCTTCATCAATAAAGGGAACCTTTCTTTCCAATCAGCCTCCAGCCTCCATTTTATTTCCAGTGCCTTTCTCCAGGCATGGACCTGGATATTTCTTCCAACAGTAGCTTAGTTACAAAACTCGGCTTAACATGGTATGGAGGAACCCTGTCATAGCTTTGAACAAGAGAGGACAGTACACTGTGTATGCTGTTTTTGAGTTCCTGATTGAAAGAGGGATACAAATCTAATAAAAAATACTCCAGCATCTGGGGATTCCAGATGCATTGGGATTGTAACTCCCAGAAGGAGAAATTCTGGGATGAAAAGTGGCAACAGATCTGAAGGTCCCAGTTCGAGAAGGCTGGTTTTGAGTTGTGTGAAGTGGACCGTTGAGTTCCAAGTGGAAGATGAGGAAACTTGTAATAGGTATACCCTTCTCCCCTAGGTTTCCTTTCCTCAGTTTCACTAGGTAAGCTTCCCTTTAGTTCTTGATTCATTCTTCCCAACATAATACAACCTCAGCTTTCAAAAGATACATATTAAACAGCTGAACTGCCATTCAACTATTTAACAATTATGGAGTTGGATTTTATTTCACTTTCAGGAGAAAAGTTATTTGGTTAATTTTTATTCCCTGCAAGCTTTGAATGCCACTCTGTACTGGGTAGGGGTAAATTTGTACAGGTAGTCCTCAACATACAACTATTTATCAGTTACAACGGCACTGAAAAAAATGACTTATAACCAATGGTGGGATTCAGCCAGTTTGCACCTATTCGGGAAAACCGGTTGTTAACTTTCTAAGCAGTTCGGAGAACCGGTTGTTGGAAGATATCTCCTTCGGGTACCTTCGAGACTGTCTTCTGCCACCAATAGCCTCCCACCGACCAATCCATTCCCACAGAGAGGGTCTCCTCAGGGTGCCATCAGCCAAGTTATGTCGGCTGGCGACACCCAGGGGGAGGGCCTTCTCTGTGGGAGCCCCAGCCCTGTGGAATGAACTGCCCCCGGAAATACGTAAGATCTCCGACCTCCGGGTGTTCCGCTGCGCACTGAAGACCGTGTTGTTCCGCCAGGCAGGGCTGTCAATATAATAATTTTAAATTGGGGTATTTTAATTTTTAGGGTTTTAAATCGGCCAAATCTATTTAATTATTTTAATTTTTAATTATTGTTGTGTCTTGTGTTTTTAAATTGGCTGTACACCGCCCTGAGTCCTTCGGGAGAAGGGCGGTATAGAAATAAAATTATTATTATTATTATTTTGGTTTTTTCCCACTTTACAGGGCTAATCCTGTAAGGAAGGCAGGAAGGAAACATTCTGGTGGTGGTTTCTAGCTTAATTTTTAATCCCCTTACAGAAACTGCCTCTCTGTTTAACCCTTACATTGTAACAGCTAAGGCGAAGTGCCCATCGATGTGAATGACGTTGAGTTGGCCACACCCATGCCTACCCAGCTGGTCATTAGGGCAGAGAACCGGTTGTTAAATTATTTGAATCCCACCACTGCTTATAACTAATCCTCACAATTACGACCGTGATCCCATTCCCATGATCACAAGATCAAAATTCAGGCACTTGGCATCTGGCATGTATTTATAAGAGTTGTAGTATCCCAGGGCACCTGATCGTCATTTGCAATGTTCTAAGTCAGCTTTCGACAAGCAAAGTCAACAGGTTGGGCCGGATTCACTTAATGGCTACCTAATTCACTTAATTACCATTGCAAATCATTATACTACCACCACCACCATCTAAATTTATATCTCACCTTTATTTGTATCCTCATGGGTAACTTTGCTTTTCATTGTTTTGGAAAAGTGATTGATGTTGCATCAAGTGCAGAGCCTGACATTATGATTTCAGAGGAAATGTAGAGAATGGCTTATTGATGGCTGTAACAGAGAAACTATGCCTTTCTCTACTGGTGCGTGATTACAACACAAACATGTCCTGGCAATTTTCTTTTTTCTGCCAGTCCCCATGAAATCCCCTTCATGTCATCTGCAGCCCAGAAGCAAAGCAGATCATCCTTAGCTGTTCCAATTATTATCGCAACATCATCCAAGGGCAACTTCGAGGTGTATAAATTCTCTTTTCTCACCCATTACCTAGGAGGGAAGTCAGGTGATTGCGTCATCTTGAAAGGCAAGCAATAAAGGCAGTGTTGTGGTCCACCAGTACCTTGCAGAGCTGGCAGCGGAGTCTGACAGTGAGGAGGCTGGGGAAGAACATGGGCCAGTCTTGGAGTCTGGGGAAGACCTGGACGAGGGCTCTGCATCGGAGGCAGAGACGGGGCCAGGGCCATCTGGGAGTGATGTGCGGACTCCGGAGCCTCCAGAGTCAGACAGCAGAGAGGCAGAGGAACAGGAGACGCCTGTACCTAGTGCGTGCATGCGCAGAGGTGCCAGAAGGCAAGAACAGTTAAAACAAAAGGGACGACTTGGGAGTAAGGCCTGGAGATGACTGGCCCCTCCCATAAGGCTTAAGAGGAGCAAAGGCATGTGGGGACTTTGCAGGAAAGCAACGTTGTTCATTCTGTTCTCAGTCAGCAACTCTGTTTGATTCTGGAATCCTTGTGACTTTGTCAAGTAGGTCTTTGGTAGAGTGTCAAGGGAGATAAAAGGTTGGTGATTATCCCGAAGGACTTCTCCCGAAGGACTTTTTGCAACTAATTGGGACTCAGCTGTGAATGAACGTAATTCACAGCTGTTGGAATAAAAGAGGTTTTTGGCACTACTCGTGTGTTTTAATGACTCAGGAAGTCTAGGTTACAAAAGGCAGGATATAGTTCTTTCCAGAGTGAAAGATGGCTAGATAACATTGTAATCCAGGGGTGTCAAACTCGCGTCATCATGTGACATATGACTTTTTTCCCTTCGCTAAACTGGGTGTGGATGAGGGCGTGGCCAGGATTTGACACATCTGGCCTGCGGGCTGGGAGTTTGACACTCCTGTTGTAACCCAGCAGTAGAATAAAGCCTGTTGAGATACAGTAAGAACTTGAACAGATACAAGAACACACATAACATCTGCAGTATAATTTTATTTCCAGAAATATTTTCAGTTTAAAAACAAAAAGTTGCATTTCAATCTTGAAACCAGCAAGACTGATAAATTCATCCCCATGGCAACATGGAGCTTCCTACCAAACATAGACATATTAAGAATACTGATTCTACTTTCAAACTAAGCTTTAAAAAGTCAGATAGAGTATGTCTTTGTACATTTACTAAGCACCAAACCCCAGCTAGTTTAATGGGGTTACTCTCAAATCAGCATTCATAGGATTGCATTCCATATACAGAGAAATTGCTTTATAATAAGACTTAATGCATTATAATAATACTTAATGCATTATCTGAAGCATGAATTGTGCTTTGTAACAATTAGAGGAAACAGAGTTGTTACTCCAATGTCTATATTTACCATGATTTCACAACTATGCTGGATAGTCTCATTTGTTTTCTGATTTTGAAAAGTCGCTTTTTTACAGCTATAACTAGGTTCTGGGTGACACAGAATGTTGCTGACAATATAAGGTCTGGTCAGCTACACGAATATGTTGATCAGTCTTAATAAAAGTGTCTATTAATATAATAATGTCCTCAACTCAGAAACCTATTTCAGCAGATTACCTCATGCTAACTTTATAATTGTAAAATTACCACAAGTCAACCTTTAAGTAGCTTGGTTATTAAGTTTTTTTAATGTTACTGATTCTGTTACAAAACTTAATAATTGTAAATTTAGGATAGTCATACTTTTTGATCTGTTCCTATTCTTGGAACATTTTCTAGGAAGTATTTGTTACTACACAATTCATCTTTCTGCTGGCAAAAAAAAAAAAACCTTTTTGAAAAAAATTGATGGGATACCAATCAACATCAAAGCTATTCTATAACATGTTAGAGAACAGAGCAATTTTCTTTTAGTCAAGATAACATTAATGTTGACGGCATAGATCATCCTGATGAAGACCAGAAACTACAGTTAATAATTACAAACTTATCTGGGAAGCTCATGTAATCTATACGCATGGAAAATATGAATATTTATGGAATGTACATTGAACAAAAATGTTTCCAAAACCAGGCCTCCATTTCAGTAAAATTCCAGTCAAGCTGCATTGGGTATAAAGAAATATCCAACAGAGATATTTTATTCATTTAAATGGATGGAAAATAAGCTTTGGAGCTTTACCGTATAACCAAAGTTGGCAAAAGAAATAATGACATAATTTAGATATGAGTTATACAAATGTTTTTGATGGTAATAACTTAGTTGTCTAGTCATGTGTCTAGCAGCTAAATATAATATCAGCTGGACCATTTTCCAAGCAATTAATTTTGGGGTTGGGGACCCTGGAACAGTAACTAATGTATAGAGTTCAGGAGAAACATTTCATTGAAATAACTGGGTTGTTTCTGGGTGCTATACCACAAATTACTGAAAGAACTTATGAAAATTGTAGAAATATCTTCACTGAGCAGTAGTTTATCATTATTGATGTGTACGGATGAACGTGATGGAGCAGTGATTTATTATCAAACATTACATTTATGTCAACTGGATATTATAGACATCTAAGAAAATACAAGGAATCCTGCAATTCTTACAATGAATTGTATACATTTAAATGGAAATTGGCTCCCACTGAATTCAACAGGATTTGCTTCCTTGTAAATGGACTGATGGTAAAATGGTGAAATGGAACATTCTCAAGAAAAGCACAGACATAGAAGAAAAAAGAAAGTTACACAAATTCAAAGATAGCAGAACAAAGCAAAAGTTTGGTCCAAATAATACACAAAGTTTCTACAAAGGGTATGAATAGATTTTCATTATCTTTGCAAGCTTCTATGGAAAATTCCTATTTTTTTTTTCTTTAAACACAAAGTCCCTGACAAAGAGAATGTATGATTATAGCAGTGGCAATGAAATTCCACAATATCATGTATCAATCCAGAGTATCAAAATAAATACAGCAACCCACCTGTTAAATTCTATATGAATTAAGTAATTTCTTTAATCAGCTATTAGACGCAGTCTAAACATTTATTGTTTGGTCATTACAAAATCATATAGAAGGCGATACTAACACCTTCTGGCCAGTTTATTTATCAGCAAATAAGTCTAGTTTATTTACTAGACACAGTTCAGGCTAGAAATGTAGAATCAGTTGCTTTGCATGCAAGAAGAAACCTAGCATATCAGAAATTAATCTAGGTTTCTCTTTGATATGCTAGATATAAAAAACACTGTTTCGGAAGGGATTAATTTAAACATGCAATTGATTATACACATATAATATGAATTGGTAACATCCAGATTATTATTTTTTTCTTTTCAGAGAAAAAGTGAGCTCCTGTACAGTATAAATACTGTACTCATTTAAATAAATTCCAAAGAAATTTAACAATATCAAATTAAAAATTAAGTAGCCTACCAATTGGTAAAAGTAACAAGGCAGCTCTGTCTAATTACATTAGTAGTCTACGTGAAACAAGTTGCATTTTCAGCTATCCCTGAAAAAATGCATCAGCAAATGAATTCTGTCCCTTGATTCTATTGCAATGTTTCTAAAACTTGGCAATTTATGATGTGCGGACTTCATTTCCCAGAATTCCCTAGTCAGCATTCTGAAAGTGCCAAGTTTGAGAAAAACAACAACACTGTTCTATTGATTGCACAGAAAACCTTTGGTTGGGAAGAAACACTGGCTGGTATCCAAAAGCTGCTGCTCCATTCATGTAAGGGGAGAGGCAGAAGCAATTTAGGGAACCGTGAAAAAGGATGAAGGAAGAGGCAGGATAAAACATTCCAGATACTGTGTACAGAACTGTCCCAATTATAGGAGCATGGAAGTTCTGTGAGTCTTCTCTATGGAGTACCATACGCTTCTATCCTGCCCATTTTTGTTCCTGCATCATCTGAGGGGCTTATCCAGGGGTGGGATTCAGCCGGTTCAGGAGAACCGGATGTTAATTTTAATCTGGTTTGTTGAACTGGTTGTTGCAAGGACTGGCTGAACCCGCTCACCCCTCCCCTGCCCTCCCCAGTCTCCATGCAGCCCGTTTTGGATGCCAGTTAAGTGCAGGGCCTGCGCGGAGGTTCTGGGAAGACGAAAAACGGGCCTTAAAAGTTCCAGAAGTCCAGAAATGGGCCCATTATATGACATAATATATATAAGATGTTTGCTATTACTTGCAACCCAGAATGTGCATTTGGACTGCGTTGAGTTGCTAATGCAAACTAGCTCGAACAATCAATGAGTGTATGGTCATTTCAGGAGAAAACAAGATTAATGATAGGATACTATCATATTTTAAATGTCTTTAAATCATACATCGTGATTCAAAATCGCTTTAAAAGAATAAAAAGTTTCATTAGCCTCTGCTGCAAGCAGAATGCACATTATTTGCATTATAATTCAAAACCATATATATTTGATTTTTTAAAATGCCCTCTTTATTACTTTGTAAGTAACTCAAGGGGGCAAACGTACATTATAATCCCTTCTCCTGACATCAACGGCAAAATTTGTACCAAATCTGCAGGCTTGCCTTTAACAACTTGCCATTCATCTAGTAGCCATAAGTAACAAAGAATTCTATACACATGAATGGATGAACATTCATGTAGGCAATTGAGCAGGTTGGAGAATTGTACATGCTTCCATTTCTCTTTCACCAATCCACTCTTGATACTATATTGGAAGGAGATAAAGAGAACTGTGCCTCTAGCTCAGGGGAGTCAAACTCACGTCGTCACATGACGTATTGGGACTTCCCCCCTTTCGCTAAACCGGGTGTGGGCGTGGCCAGCACGCGACACATCTGGCCCGCAGGCTGTGAGTTTGACAGCCCTGCTCTACATTTTTAAGCCTAAATAATAATAAGCATCAGAAGAACTCAATTCGAATGAAGGGCAGCATCAATTAAAGAGCTGGCAACTGTGACTTCACATTGTTGTGAACAGACAATAGTCAATTGCAAAAGGCAACTTTGCTCAGAACAGCTTATAACCTGCGACAATATCTCTAACAACATCAAACATCCACATCTGCCTATCCCAGGTCCTTGGGAAGAAATAGATAGGTGGACAAAAATGCAAATTCAGTCTGAACATCTGGCTAACTGTGCGATGGACCATACTAATAATAATTTGATTTAAGAGAAGGACCATCCAGCTTAGAAACACAGCAGAGAAAACAGAATCCTTTCATAACAAAAGGAAGAAAATATAAGACAAAAATCTTCTTCACTGCCCTAGCATAAAATAATTTAAAATAATCCACTTTCTTTGAAGACATTAACTGAAAAAAAATCTATCCAAAATTAAAATTTGACCAGAAAAATAAAGTTTAAAAACATTTATTAACATGCCAGAAATGCTTGTCTTTGCGTTGCCTTTTTTACCTTCATGTTCTTGCAGTGTTGATTTAAATTAATTGTTCAGGTAAGTTGCTTGTAAGGTGATTCAGGTTTGTGATTCTTTTCTATTCCTCTTGCAAAGAGTTTAATTAATTGGCAGTGAACTCTGCAAATGTAAGAAATTGTAAAATCTTCACATGATAAAATTCTATCAATTCTAATCTGCCAGTCACAAAGAACAAAATCCTCTCAATTATTCATTTAAGAAGCTGTTCACAATGGCAGTTTGAGATAGCAAATACAGCTATGTTTTGTGTTTTTTTCCTAGTATATTTTTTATTTGGAGAAATGCCGTAATAAATAAATCATCAAGCCAAAATTAAGATCTCTTCACATATATCTGCGTATCTATTATTGCCCTTTAGATTGTTTGAATTGGTCTCGAGCATCTCTACTCTAAGTAAAATATATGTTGGGTTCAGGTATATGTCAGATATAGAATTACTTGGGATTTTCCCTACAATTTGTAAATTATAATATATATCTTACTGTATTATTTGAACCAAATCCATGGATGCAGGTTGCTCCCAACCCTGAGTCTTAAGATCAGTAGCTTAAGTAGCTCAGTATTAGTCTTGCATTCTGTGAATTTATCTAATTTCCTTTCAACATTATTTACATCAGTGACGGTCACCAGATTCTGTAGTAAGGAATTCCACAGAACTAATTAGGCATTGTTTAACCATGTTTGGTTGAACAAACCATCTTATTCTCTTTTTATCATGCACTGAGGACTCTGGCTGGGAAGACGATTTAAAAAACAAAAAAGATTTAACCTTTATTTCTGCACCTTAGTCATGGAAAACATTCTGCCTTCCTGGGAACTGCTATTGGAGGCAATAAATAGTCTGTTTAATAAAGTTCTGTTTAATAAAACCTGTTGACATTTTTTAGGTGAGAGGATTAAAACCTTTTTTTAGGAGTGCATAGCTATGCATATGTAACAAAAAAGAGAGAGAAAAAAACAAATCTCTATCTTTAGTGTCAATTTTTAAATCCCGTTAGAGAAAGGACTAATGTGCGAATTGCACTCTAATTTCTTTATATTTGTAGATTCATTTTTAAAAAGAAAGGCACTCACTTGACTTCAATAGTTGAACAATCCAGGGTCTCTCCATCACAGTTCCAGGTACTGCTGGGGGGGAGACAGCAGCAAGCTGGGTGGTCTCTACAGAACTGACCAAAGTGTTTTTTCCGCATACCCTGGTCATCATTGTCACCATCATCAAAATGTTTTGATGTAAAACGAAACTTTTTAATCCGATAAACCTCTACAAAGCTGAAATCAAACTGTAGAGAAATTGTAGGAAGCAAATTACAGCATTTGTTGCCTTAGAAATTGTCAAAAAGACATGTCAGTCTTCTGAGGGTTTTTTTTTTTTTTTTGGTCTAAATAGCACTTAACTAAATTTTGTTTAAATGATACTCAGCACTATAATGTAAAATACAGTTAGGTGTACTCAGACATTCAATAGGTTTAAGCATATCTAACTCTAGATTCTGAGAACTGTGCTATAAAATTCAATTTTCTTAATAACCTTTATCTGTAGAATAAACTATATGATGCATACAAAACTATTTCTATAAATGAAGTAGATGAATTTTTTGCATTTGCTATCATTTTCATCTGAGCTACATTAAACTGCTTGAATGGCTCTATAGTAGAGGCAGTCCCCATGTTAAGAAAGAATAACTTGAAGAAACCCCTAGATACAAAATGGCTACCCTGTTACAAAATAGCAGATGGCTCACCTGTTAACAGTATTTTAAATGGTGGACACCTGACCAACAATGTGACACAATGCAAAATGGCAGATGGCGTTCTCCTCTCTTTGAGTTGATGAGCTGCTGAAGCTGTGCAATGCTTTCATCAGCATCATTAAAGAGAGCATCTGCTTTTAATGCAGTACGCAGGCTGTTTTCAGCAGTTCCCGAATGCACTCTGTGGCTTCAGTGGTTTGTTCTTCGTTGGCTCCAAGAAGGAGCACGCCATCCGCCATTTTGAATTGGATCACTTTGCCTACAGGGAAAATGAGAGATTGAATTCCAGCAGGTTCTCAAGATGTGAGAAATGAAATTCCAGTGCGTTCTCCTTGCTGGATGTCTGTTTTCCACATAACTTAGTTTTAAGCTATAAAACGTAGTTATAAGTTTAAACTTTACAAGAAGCCTTGTAAACAATGTTGTTGCTTCTCCTTGATGCGAAGAAGTACAAGTACAGTAACCTGTTCCAACTTAAATACAAATTTGGGTTAAAAACAGTGGTGAAATCCTCTGTGGGTTGGCACCGGTTTGCTGCCCGTGCATGCATGCTGTGTGCCAAACGCACACTGCATGTGCGCATGCACACTGTGTGCCAAACACACATTGTGTGCGCATGCGCAATGCACTCAAAATGCACGCTGCACGCACGTGAATGCACAGTGCGCACCAAAATTTCCTGCTTTCTAGTGAATATAAATCGTGCGGCACAGCTGATCGTCGGAAATACCGGTACGGTATTTTTTTACTACTAGTTCGCCCGAACTGGTGCGAACCGGTAGCATTTCATCCCTGGTTAAAAACAGAATTAAGGAATGGAAGTGTTCATACTCTGTGGACTACCTGTTGAATGGGTATGTTACATAAAGGTAACTTTAGATTTGCTCTTCCTACAATTCTATGAACAATATTATGCCCCATTTTCCAGAAGAAAAGCTGTGAAATACAGTCTAATGCTATCCAGAGAACATTAAGGAAAGAGAAAGATACAATTATGAAAGCTTACTGCCATTTCTACTATTACTACCATTGGTTATTATTTCTAGAACCTGTCCTATTATAGATTCAATTTAATCTTGTAAATCTCAGCTTATTAATCATTCAACTGATGCTCCATCAATTCTTCACTAAATTACATAGAATAAATTCATAAATCGCTATGCAAACTACAGTCGTACATTGTTCCTTGTGACACAAAAAATCTGGATAAGGATAGTTACTTTCCCCTTGAATGGGTTCGCTTTTTTCTACTTTTCTCTTATTAGCTTGAGGTTGTTAAGATTTACTGCACTTGCTCTTAATAACTAGCAATATGCCCCGGCATTGTGAACCAATAATGAGAAGTCAGCCATAGAATGTTCTAGGATGGCTTTGGAAACCATGGTCTTTACCTACTCTTTCCCAAAACCGAATAAAGATTTCATATCTTGAGAAGATAAGGTTTCCCTAATTCTCAGTCTGGATGTTGTTTTCTTTTCTCCGTGTCTAAATTATCTCTGGGCTTGGGATGCCATACAAGCATTGAACTCACTCAGTGGTGAAATCCAATTTTTTTTACTACTGGTTCTATGGGCGTGGCTTGGTAGGTGTGGTGTGGCAGGGGAAGGATACTGCAAAATCTCCATTCCCACCCCACTCCAGGGGAAGAATACTGCAAAATCCCCATTGCCTCTGCACTCCTGGGGGAAGGATACTGCAAAATCTCCATTCCCACCCCACTCCAGGGGAAGGATACTGCAAAATCCCCATTGCCTCCCCACTCCTGGGGGAAGGATATTGCAAAATCTCCATTTCCACCAGAGGTGGTATTTGCCCGTTCTCCGAACTGCTCAAAATTTCCGCTACCAGTTCTCTAGAACCTGTCAGAACCTGCTGGATTTCACCCCTGAACTCACTTCCTGCAGACTCAGAGCTGCCCTTAAATAGTATCAGAGGGACGTTGTTCTTGGTAAAGACTGAGCTGTCACTCTTGGTGGGCATGTTTTGATTCCTACTTAAATGGGATCACCAAAAGCTCTGTGGTCTTTTTGTTTTTACAAAGGAATGAATAACAGATGTTTATTTATTTAAAAGCAAGGGAAGTGTTGAATTGGAGACCATGTGTGAGTCAAAAGCGGTGCTGGACTCTATGTATTATATACATGTATTTATAGAGGGAACTATAAAACAGGCCTTTTCTGCTGTAGCCCCTGCCTTATGGAGTATTCCTCCCTCAGAGATTCGAGCGGTGCCAATCAGCGCTGGGTTTCACATATTCTTATCACCGGTTCACCGAATGCGTGCCTTCCATGCTTGTGCCCAGCCTTCCACGCATGTGCTTTCCTTGCGTGTGCCTTCCGCGCATGTGCCCGGCCTTGAAAACATGGCTAAATAGGATGGCATTATGTTGGGGCGGGTGGGCAGGCCCGCCCGCAGTCGCTGCTACCGATTTGCCCGAACCGGCTGAATACCACCTCTGGTCCCAATTCTGGTGGCCTTTCACAAGGCTTTAAAAACCTAGCTACATAGTCAGGCTAGTGCTTGGAATATGCTGGCTTAACTATTAGTTGATTAATCATCACGGCTGAGGTTTGTACTTATTTATTTTGTGGATGTTTTTATTGTGTCAATGATTTGTAATTGTTTTGTTTATAATTTTAGAATTGTAAGCTACCCAAGGTAACTTGGTTGAGTTGGTCGGCTGTAAAAAAAAATTGAATATATAAATAAATAAAATATAGCCTCATCAATGGAGTGGTAAGAACTAAGCGGCATCAGTGAAAATAACCAATCAGTCTCCCTCACTCTGAGAACAACATTTTAAATGGCGGATGAGGGAATGAAACATTATCTGACCTGTAAGTTCCAGAAAGTCTAGCTTTTTATCCATACTTCTTGCCCGTTATGCAATTGTTCTGTTTTGTGTTTCACCACAAGACCATTAATCTACATCAGATTGTGCCTCCATTCCAGTTGTGAAGCTATGATACCGTTAGAGAGAAAAATACGCACCTGATCATGCTGGTTTGTATGCCTTAAGAGGTATCTTAAAAAGTTTAACCGGGAACATTTACGGACTAGAATGAGGTCTGCAGAGCCATCTGCCAGGTGAGCAGCTGGCGAAAGGCCTTTAGGACTCCGTGGACAGGCACAGCTGATGTTCACAGCATTGATGGCTAGAAACTTCCCTCTAATAACTTTCCATTCTCCTTCCTCATCCCCTGAAAGAGATATATTTGCATTTTGTTCTTGGTATCATCTGGATTTTGAGACATGTTTTAAGACATTGTTGACTCCATAAAGGGTGAAGGAATGGATGGCAATTTCCCCAACCTTATATCTCCCAGAAGTATCAGGAAGAGCAACTGAGATTCTAACCAAGCTGAGTTTTGTGACTGCTTTTCTTTCAAAATAAATCTAGCGATTTTTGCTTTTTTTTTTTTAAAGGCAGCATTAATATAATGCATAATTCAATCCAAGGTCCCCAGGCAAAACAGAACTTCAGAGAATCACGTGCCCTGTTAACTAGAATCCAAGTTTGGATGTTTGTGTGATTTCTTCTCAAAAGCTCTAAAATTACTGACAAATCACTAAGCCTCATACAGGTAGTCTTCTTCTTACAACCATAATTGGGCCCAGAATCTTGGTTGTTGAGGGAAGCAGTTGTTAAATGAGACACAAAGGCATGACCACTGCACTCAACAATCACAATCCAAGCTCTCCCAGTTGCAGTTGTTAAGTGACCACATAGGTTGTTAAGCACAGCACTGGAGAGACAGCTCTGACCTCTCGAGCATGATAGGGTGGAACGAGGACCTGGGCCTCCCACCATATCTGGGAGGCCTGGGCCAGGGGTGGACTGCTGGGGGTTTGCAGGGGTTCAGGAGAACCTCTAGCTAAGATTCTGTGCAGTTCAGAGAACCCCCAAATCCCACTCCTGGCTGGCCCCACCCACCCCACCCCGCCCCTCCCAGGAGTCCCCACGTGGCCCGTTTTGGATGCAGGTAAGTGCAGGGCGTGCGCGGAGGCTCAGGGAGGATGAAAAACAGGCCTACTAGAAATTCAGGATGGCTGGAAACGGGCCCATTTCTGGCCTCCAGAGGACCTCCAGAGCCTGCGGAGGCTGTTTTTGCCCTCCCGGAGGCTGAAGGAAAGCCTCTGGAACCCGGGGAGAGCAAAAATGCCTCCCGCACCGTGGTGCAGGAGGCTGACTAGGCCACACCCACCATGGCCACGCCCACCCAGCAATCGGGCAGAGAACCCCTTGCTAAAATTTTTGAAGCCCACCCCTGGCCTGGGCCCTCCTCCTGGGAGAACAATCATAAGAATGGTAAGTGTTTGCTAGTGTTTCGCCAGATTTAAGATCCATTCCTAAGTTCATTGAGGGATTTTGAAGAGGAAATGCCTTGGCATGCTGTAAGAACAGAACAGAGAGGAAAGCGCTAGCAAACCCCAGCATTCTGAAAGGCTCAGAATGCTGGCTTTTGCTAGCATTTTTTTTGTTTTTTTGCCGGATTTGAGGTCATTCCTCCAGCTTATGTGGAGGATTTCTCCTCTCTGCATGGAAAAGAGGGGAAATACATTGGTGTGCTGGGGGAATGGACCTCAAATCCAATGTCCCCTCCACTGACAACCTTCCCTGCTGATTTCCTGATTGACTTTTTGGGGGGAGCCACAGAGAAGGTTGCAAATGGTGATCATATGTTGGCAAACACCTGAAATGCAGTTATGTGGCCAGAAAAATCAGCCCAACATTTTACAATGCCTGGATGTGCTTTAACAGGACATAAAGTACTCAACCATGTTGATAAATGACTGGTTGTAAGTCAAGGATTATTTGTTTTTTCTTTACTGCTTTTTATATCTATAATCTGTCTTCCAGGAGTTCAAGGCAGCCTGCATTAGCCTTTTTCTTCTACTAGTCCAGATGGCTGGACTGTTTTTCTTATCATCCCCAACCAATTGTGGTAATGTACAGAGGAGATAAGATTTGAAGTTTTACAAGGGCTAGAGGCTACTCCTAGTTCAGGGATGTTTAATGTTTTATGCTTTCATAACCCAAACATTTCCATTAGATTTTTTTTTCAATGTTGGCATGGACCTGAACTAGAATTTAAACCAGGACGAATTCTCAGTCTGGCTACTGAAATCAGAAATCATTGATGGCATGGAGCAAAGCATAATCATGGTGTTTCTTGAAGAAACGCCGCCCAGAGTCCCTTGGGAGTTGGGCAGCATAAAAATGCGACTAATAAATAATAAATAAATAAGAGTGAGAACCCAGCTGAAAACTGAAAATCTACTTGATAATATCAACACTAAATGAATGAGCAGTCAAAAAATACACCATAGGCTAGTATAGTGATGGCTAAACTTTTTCCGGACCGAGTGCCCAAAGTGTGAATGCGCATGCGCACCCCCGAACCCCCAAAATGCAATGCACACGTGGGCCTAGTGCATGCGCCCCACCCCCGTGCATGCATGTGTGGGCCGCTACATGTGCCCCTGTTCTATGCATGAGCATGCACCCCGTACCCCATGCATGTGCATAGGACCCCTGCATGCGCCCCCTGCGCATGTGTGCATGGTCTCCCACATGTGCCCCGCCCCCTGCATGTAGGCACGTCCCACACATGCACCCCGCCCCCCATGCATGCACGGCAGAGACCCGAAGACCAGCTGGCCGGTGGGAGGCGCGCAAGTATGCACAGCGGAGCAGACCTGGGGTGAAAGCTCGCGTGCCATCAGAGAAGGCGCTGGGTGCCTTCACAGGGCTAGTACTTGGTAGAATAGCCATGAAGGCCTCAGAAGAGCTATTCCAATGCAGTGATGTGTCTACATTTACAAAGATCGGAATAGTGCAAGCAATGGTTTTCTCTGTGACAGTCTAAGGAAGCAAAAGTTGGACACTGAAGAAGTAGAATACAAAGTGGCTTTTACACCAAGAAAAATACAAACAGATTTCAGCCTTACTTTAACTCCAAATGTGGTAATTGAATATACTACATTTACCATAGTTTCACAAACTGTACCAACTGCAGAGTCTGCCATAAATCAGCATTTGTACTGAATGATAATGAATAAGTATAAACAGGATAAATATGAAAGAAGCCTGTCTCATTTTAAACCTCTCTGAATTTTCCTTGGGCTTCTACAGCAGTTAAATCCAATCTTTGTTCTGATTTGAAATCTGTCTTTATACTCGTCATCCAAATAAAAGAGATATTAGAAACTAACTGAGCCAATCTAACCATTAACAAACAAGGTTCCACAAACTATAAAGTTACTTTTAATCTCCTTTTCCGTCTTCTTCTGATCTTTCTCCAGCTGTAGTTTACTTTGCTTGCAAATCCGGCACCTAAAGAACAAAGGTAACAACTTCAGTGTTGACAATATAACTTAGTTATTGAAAAATTAATTTAAGTTTGAATTAATTTAAAATTTTAATGTAATTTAATTAATCAACAGGACATCCCGTGACTCACTGAGTCTTTGTTTCAGAGCTATTTCCTCAGTACCTCCAACAGAGGAGGTAACTCTGGAGTTTCCTCAGAAACTCCAGAGTTTCTACTGCACTGCCTTCATTGGAAAAGCTGTTAAAAATTCAGGGAGATATTCAGAGGAGCATCGTTCTTAAAAATAGCCCATGTTGAACTGTATACCACAGTCAATTAGGAGTCAGAGGCTAGGTTTTGCATTAGGTTATAAAATGTTTTATGACAATTTTTATGTTATAAAATGTTTTATAAAATTTTCCAAATTTCAATTCCACAGGAGTCATGGAGTTATGGACTTATAGAATGCACTCTGTAAGTTACTCCACCTGAGGTAATGTGGTTCAAAACATTTTGCTCTAAGATGCATCTGTTTTCCCCAGTTAATGGATACACACCGACAAGCATGAGAGTTTTAATAGCGCGCACACACACACAGACTTCTCTGCAGACCAAATGGATTTAACACTATTTGTTTATCTTCATGATACTGTCATTAGTAGCATTTCAAACGTAATTTAGATAAGCAGAAAAGTTCATGCCTGATGGATTTAGAATCGTCTTTATGACTTCTCAGCATGATTAACTCAACTTCCTTTTTGTTTACATTCTTAAAATTTAGCCAAATTAGCAAATGTATTCCGGTCTTTCTACTCAACAGGCATTCAAGGTGAATTGAGTGATTTAACCTACCCAGTTCTGCAGGGTTTCTTATCTCTTGGAGAACCCATGGAGTGTGCTGCTGGCAAGAGAGATACTGTCCCCTCATAGTAATGATGGGAGAGGAAAGTCTTGAAACCTTGGAAGTGGACAAAAAAATAATAATAATGGAAGAAATCAGTAATTTTTGCTTTTTCTTCTACCTATTCTCCCATAGAGCTGGAAGAGAACGATTATTTTATATCTGGTCATTATTCTGTAGATGTTTCCTACAACTTGCTCTCTGTGTGTACCAATTAAGCACTTTTTATATGCAACCTCTTGGCACTGTCTACATGTTCTCTTTACATAAAGGCCACTATTTGGCGGTTAAATTCCCATTTCTGTACTCAGTGTTAGTGTGGTTGTCCACTGGATGCTATTCCGGGGAGAGTCATTCTCTAGAGCAGGAGTGTCAAACTCAAGGCCACCCTGGAAACAGCAAAGGACTGGCCCGCAGTGTCTCTGCAAGTGAAAACGGAGCTCGGGAGGGCTCCGTTTTCACTGGCAGAGGGTTGGAAGAGGCCGTTGCAGCCAAAAATGGAGCCTCGACGAGTGACGTTGAAATGGCCATGCCAGTGGTGAAATCCATTTTTTTTTACTACTGGTTCTGTGGGTGTGGCTTGGTGGGCGTGGTGTGGCTTGGTGGGCATGGCAGGGGAAGGATATTGTAAAATTTCCATTCCTACCCCACTCTGGGACCAGCCAGAGGTTGTATTTGCTGGTTCTCCAGAACCTGTCAGAACCTGCTGGATTTCACCCATGGGCCACCCCCACCCTGGCCATGCCCCCCCCCGCGGCCCCCAAACACAGCCCTGATGCAGCCCTCAATGAAATCGAGTTTGACACCCCTGCTCTAGAGCCATGCCTATCACTTTTTTTTCTTATAGAAGAAAATAGAAGAGATTTTTAAAAATGGCAGGGAAGGGTAAATCTGTTGGCTACTTGACATAAAGGATGGCTGCAGAAGATATACCAGATGTTACCTGAGAAGTCATATCTGGCAGGGCCCATCCAGCGTTTCTGTTCACTGTCTTTTAATACATCTCCATAAAAACCATATCCCAGTAGTGATACACAGTATTTCAGAAATGTATTATTGCGATGTACTGAACAAACATCCAGAGGTTGATTATCTCCTATTAACAAGAGGTATTTCGTTACTCAGTCACTGTAAAACTGTCTTATATCGAAACATATAAAATATATTCATATATAAAACATTGTAAAATATTAAAAATTGTCTTATTTTTAAAGTGAGACGGCAAAAAAAAAAAAATCCCCATTCTTTTGTCTAAAAAAGTTCTGCAGTACCTGATATAATAGTTAACATGGAAGATCTCTAATTCAAATACTGAAAACATGTTAATAATTACTTAGTTAGAAAGCTAAGTGTCTGTGCTTGTGATGCTATAAGCAAAGCAATTCATTCTAGTTTTACTCATTTACCCATTGTAGTTTCACTCATTGAAGAAAAACCAAATGCACAGGTATAAAAGAGGTGGTATCTGGGTCAACAGTAGTGCCTGGGAGAGGGATTTGGGTCTCTTATTGGACAACCACATAAGTATGAGTCTGCAGTGTGTTGTAGCTGCCAAAAAAGCCAATGTAGTCCTAGGCTGCATCAAAAAAGGGACAGTTTCAAGGCGATGTGAAATAATCACACTGCTTTATATTACACACTTGGAATTCTGGTCACCATGATACAAAAAAGGGGCTGAGACTCTAGAAAGTGTGCAGAGAGGATTAACGAAGATGATAAGGGGTATGGAGGCTAAACCATATGATGAACAGTTGCGGGAACTAGGTATGTATGTCTAGTCTAGCCAAGAAAAAAACTAGGAGTGACATAGTCTTCCAGTACTTGAGGAGCTGACACAGAGAAGTGGGGTCGACTTCTTCTCCAAAGCACCCAAGAGTAGGACAAGAAGTAATGGATGGAAAATTATCAAAGACGGATCTAAGCTCAAATAAAGGAGAAATTTCATGACAGTGAGAACAATTAATCAATGGAATGGCTTGCTTCCAGAAGTTATGTGTATTCCATTACTGAGGTTTTCAAGAAGAGATTGGATAACCATTTCTCTGGAAGGGTATAGGGCCATGATGGCAAACCTATGGCATGCGTACCACAGGTGGCACACGGAGCCATATTGGTGGGCATGCAAGCTCAGCTCCAGCGGGCATGCACGCGCTGGCCAGCTGATTTTCAGGTCTTCTGGGCCCATCAGAAGTTGGGAAACAGGCTGTTTCTGGTCTCTGGAGGGCTCCCAGGGTATGGGGGAGGCCGTTTTCACCCTCCCCAGGCTCCTAGAAAGCCTCTGGAGCCTGGGGAGGGCAAAAAACGGGCCTACTGGGCCCACTGGCCCATCATGTGCCAAAAGTGGGGGGAAGCACGGGGGGTCACACACGGGGGGCAGGGCACATAGAATTATGAGTGTGGGCACACACGCACACTACCCCCCCCCCGCACTCCCTCCACTTTGGCACGTGATGGCAAAAAGGTTAGCCATCACTGGTATAGGATCTCCTGCTTGAACACTCTCTCTCTCTCTCTCTCCACTAGAAGACCTCTAAGGTTCCTTCCAATCCTGTTATTCTACATTCTAGTTGTGAAGAGGAGCATTACGATGCTCCTGTACTAGGATAATGACCATTCTGTCCTACTTATGACTAACATGGAATGAAGGAGGAAAATACACATAGTCTGAAAATATATCCTGGCAAACCAGGATCCCTGGAATAGTGATTGTGAAGTAGTGATAGTTGTGTACAACTATCAATCAGCTAGAAGTTGCTCTCATTCAAGGGTAAAAAAATAACCTCAATGAGCTATGCATAACACTGATGCTTCCATAGAACAGATGATACTAACATTGTGATGTCTATCAGCTGCGCTTTTGAGTGATAAAGTGAAGTGGTTTCTCACTGTAACTTTCTGCCAGCAGAATGCTTTCATGATCATATGCAACTGCCATTTCTTCTGTGCCACACTGTATCATAAATTTTAGCGGAATAGAAAGGCTTCTGCAAAATCCTCAGCTGGAGTTAGTGACATCTTAATGGTCAGCAACTATATTCAGGTTCTGCATTTGATTTTTTTTTTTTTGCCAAAAGTAATAACGATGCTGTAAAACTTCCTAGGGTGTTTAAAATTGTGTCAATGAGCCTGAAAGCAAACTAATACTTACCCACAATGATATGTAATGCAGATGTTACTGGATCATTGATGCCAACTGTTGCATAGCATATGCAATCGGTCGAACCTGGAAAGCAAGCGATCTTTACGTTTGTTTGCAATTCAAAAACATTATGAGGACAAAATTATCTTAAATGAGGATTAAGTTACCAAATAGAGCCGCGGATTTCAGTTTGGTCAGTTGTGTGGCTTCCTGGGAACTATCATATTATGCTGCTAGAGACCTTGTGAGATGGCATAAGAAATGCTACGAAGGGAGTGGTCATCTAAGAGAGGGCACAGTAGTCCTCAGCTGCATAATGAGCAGATAAAAGGGCTCAGAAGGGACCCTACCCAGCTTCTCAGGATATTAAGGAGATGGTGGGAGATTTGTACTTCCAGATTCTGTTAACGTAGTTTTATAATGAACAGTGCAGAGCTGAGGTGACACAGTGGTTAGAGTGCAGTATTGCAGGCTACTTCAGCTGACTGCTAGCTGCAGTTTGGCAGTTCAGATCTCACTGGCTCAAGGTTGACTCAGCCTTTCATCCTTCTGAGGTCAGTAAAATGAGGACCCAGATTGTTGGGGGCGATATGCTGACTCTGTAAACCGCTTAGAGAGGGCGGTAAAACAGTGTAAAGCGATATATAATGATAGTGATGAGCCTTGGTAGTACAGTGGTTTAAAGCACCCTGTTATTAAGACCAGCTGCCTGCAATTACTGCAGGTTCGAATCTCGCCAGGCTCAAGGTTGACTCAGCCTTCCATCCTTTCTAAGGTAGGTAAATTGAGGACCCAGTTGTGGGGGCAATAAGGTGACTTTGTATAAATATACAAAAGGATGAAGGCTATTGCTGAGCACATTGTAAGCCGCCCTGAGTCTCTGGAGAAGGGCGGCATATAAATCAAATTTTTTTTTAAAAAAAGTCTTAAGTGCTACTGCTATCTGGTTGTGTTTCCTGTCTGGTTAAACTGGGAAGGCTAACAAACTAGTATTTTTTTGCCAAGACTGGAATAAAATAACTATACTTAATGTGTACAAATTTGACAAAAAAATTGATTTGACAAATAGACAAAAATATAAATAATGAAAGTGTTAAAAAAGAAAAAAAAAGTAAAAAGATAGACCAAGCATAGTTAAACTGAGCCAACTATACTTTTGGTTACTTTTTACACAGCACTGACTGCCAATAGATCCTTTGCAAGAGAATTGGCATCAAGGCAGAAGTTAAACTGATTCCAGTGGAACACATCCACAGCACAGGATGTCAGCCCACCAGAAAGCACAGGTTTAATTGTATGGACTGCTGATTTGAGCCCTGACCTCCTTTTAACAGAAACTTTAATTTGCAATGGTCTCTAAGCAACAGGTTTATTTTCAGGCAGAAAATAAAGAGCAGGGGAAATCAATTTTCTGGAAAAAGCGTCTTTCTTCCAATCCTTTAGAAAGGCATATTCTTGAAATCACATTGATATCTAGTGCTCAATTGTAAAATAAGAGCAGCCAGAGATTAGGAAACAAACTCTCTTGAAAAGGATGTAGAAACGGCCACTAATCCAAGACAGTGCTGGGATGGCATACCATATTTGGCTGCAAAAAAAATCAGCCAATGGCTAATTGTCACCAATGATGCAAAAGACTCTGTCTCATTTTGGCAAGGATGAGTAAGGATTTTTGCAGTCCAGATAAGACTGCCCTAGCATTAAGCCTGGTTTGCTTTCCCCTTCCACGCAAATCCTCTTTTCAAGATTTAAAGTTCTTCAAAATTTAAAGTTTTTTTCTTCGCCTGTGCCTTCACACACAATAATGACAAGTCTTCATAACACAGTCTGCAATATAGCAGATGGCAATGGAAAATTGGGAATGCTCTAACTATGAAAGAATACGCAGCTAGAATTTATGCTAAAGGATCAGCGTTTCTAAGCTTTTTAATCCTCCTTAAATAGTTTTAAATTGTGGTGGGAATGTATTTCTTCCTGCTGATTTTTCTCTATATTGTGGTCTTTTAATTTGTTTTTATCATAAGTTTAATTTTATTGTGAGTTGCCCTAGGAATTTCCTGTTGACCCCATCTATGAGTAACTGAGCAATTCTGTGCCCCCTATGCAAAGAGGTTTAGGATATAGGCAAATAGGAATATGATTGCTGACTAAATAAATATACGTTTATAAAGTGTATGATAAATCTCTCATATTGAGCTGCCAATGGTTTGCATTGGAGGAATGAACAGTAAAAACTCAAGTTAGCCAAACGATAAGCATACTTCTTTCAATTATATATTAACAATGTTTTTAGTTCTATAAATTGAATGTAACTAAAGCAAAAGCTTAGAATGTCAATTTATAACGAAACCATGTTCTATACTGTGTGCTTTTCTTTCTTAGCCTTTTTATGCTGAACTGCTAATTAGCATAGTTTGGATATACTATCAACAATCATGTGAGTTAGAGCCTAAAATTAGTTGTAAAAAATGGATAATTCTATGAAAGGAGTATTAAGGATGCTGACAAATCATAAATCATATGATAATAATTAATATTTACAAAACACAAAGCAAGGAGCTTTTACATTAAAATAAAACCCATTCCCCTAAATTGGTCTTCCCCAGTCTGGTGCTCTCCACATTTCATAAATCCATATTCTGTTCGGATCCTATTTAAGATCTTCCACATAAATGAGAACTGTGACCCAGAATGGACTTTTCAGGGTTTTAAAATGAGAGAATTTTGTCTGCACTCTGAGACGCCCCTTCTGGATTTCAAGTGGCACCTCCAAAACAAGGGAATGAGCATGGCTATAATGTCTCCTGGGTTCTATGAAGGTTTGATGATGTCCTATCCTTGACATCCTGTTGTGGTCGGCCGGCGGCCTGCGGAGCTGGCAGCAGAGTCGGACAGTGAGGAGGCTGGGGAGGAACATGGGCCAGTCCTGGAGTCTGGGGAAGGCTTGGATGAGGGCTCTGCGTCAGAGGCAGAGATGGCCAGGGCCATCTGGGAGTTATGTGCGGACTCCGGAGTCTCCAGAGTCGGATATCAGCGAGGCAGAGGAACAGGGGGAGCCTGTTCCCAGTTTGCGCATGCGCAGAGCTGCCAGAAGGCAAGAACAGTTAAAACAAAAGGGACGACTCGGGAGTAGGGCTTGGAGATGATTGGCCCCTCCCGTAAGACATAAAGGAGGAGCAAAGGCACATGAGCCTTTGCAGGAAACAATTGTTGTTCGTTCTGGTCGGTTTAAATTCTGCAGCTCTGTTTTGACTCTGTGCTCCGTGTGGCCTTGCAAAGCTAATTTCCAATTAGATCTTTGGCAGCATGTCAAGGGAGATAAAGGTGGGTTCTTATCAGCCTTATCCCAAAGGACTGTGGCAGACTTCCGTCAGACTCTTTACATAAACTGTTTGTGACTCATCTGTGAATGAACAGAATTCACAGCCGTTGAAATAAAAAGAGGGTTTTTGGGACTAATTGTGTGCTTTTTACTGTCTCGGGAAGCCTAGGTCAGAACACATCCTTTGAAAACTGATTATGACACAAAATTTACAACTCTTTACACACTCATATACATAGACTGAATCTCTAGAAAAAGAGGCAGGTCCTGGGCTCTATTCTGTTTCTCATCGGATTCATCCAATCCATAAACTTGGACTGAAGTTATAGAAGCCGAGGAGAACACTGCCTTCCCATTCCTTTCCATTTCCCAATTGTACCTTCAACAAATGCATATGTGAACAGGTTTCAATAAATATTAGGCAATCCAAGCTAAGCCTATAGTTCTAGGCAAGATCCACTATCTGTTGAGGCTCCTACTAGCTAACCATTATGCTGTCCCACGTATGTAATATTACTTTTTCATTTTGGTCCAAGGTGGTAAATACATGATAACAATGTACGGTAGACGTTCACCATGTTGCAGTTCTTACCAGCAGGAATTATGCCAATCCTGAGACAGCATTGGACTAATTGTGCTTTGGGATTATTTTGATCTATGCCCGAATCCTTCTGAGATCTTCCAATTAGACCATGTATCACTTCACTGAACATTCCGTCCCCACCAACACAAACAACACTGCCGGAAAACACACAAATTAAAACTCACACTGACAGTCAATACATAAATGTGTCAAAGGACCCAATGTGAAAATACAATTTTATTAAAAGTTATCTTTATGCTTCACTATTTAGTCTCAAACCGCCCCCCCCCCAATGGAGAAATGCTTATTATTACTTGAAACAAGTACCGTGTTTCCCGGAAAATAAGATCCTGTCTTATATTTTTTTGAACCCTGAAATAAGCGCTTGGCCTTATTGCCATGCGCTCAAAAGCCCGATTGGGCTTATTATCAGGGGATGTCTTATTTTGGAGGAAACAGGGTATTTAATGCACATTTAAAATAATTTACTTAATTGGGCTGTGACAGGCTCATTTTTATTATAATTTTGGATATTTAAAAGTAGTAATTTCTCCTGCATTAATATCTCACTATGGAAAAGGGGTATCGTTCTATCAATGGTAAATTTCATCCACATTCTTATCATTCATAAATACTTATCTTTCATAATCACTAATAATCACTATTTCTCTTCTCTCTAACTTGATGGTTCACCTCTAATAGCAAAAGCTACTCAAGATGTACGTGCAGATGGGAAAGAATATCAACTATCTATTCCCATGGGCAATATGGAAGTTCTGCTCATTGGGCAGATCTTTTCCACATATCTGATACTTTGTGCCTTTTATGATTGGATATTGTGGCTAGACCCCAATTTTCCCATGACTGGATCGTATGTCAATTACTACCACAACTGGATATGGCCAAAATTGTGGAAACCTTTTGGGAAAAGTGTATTTTTGAGGTTTGATGGCTAATAACATCACTTTTTGGGGGAGTTTCAAGATAATCCTATTCCACTGCTGAAATGGCCTGGGAGTAGCCCAGACCTTAACCCAATTGAAAATCTATGGAGCTGACTAAAAAACTTGTTAGTCAGAAGCAACCTAGCAATAAAATCCAGTTAATAGAAGCAATCATTCAATCTTGGTTTCACATTATAACAGCTGCAGAACTAAAAGACTTGGTTCACTCCATGAAAAGACGTTGTAAGGCCGTAATTCATGCTAAAGGTTACCCAACTATTAATTGACATGGTGATAATTTTTGTATATCTCATTTTTTTCTATGTGTTTCACTTTTCTTCTTTATACTGTAACTGCTATTCTAATAGCAAATCCTTCACAAAAGTTATTGCATTACAATCTTGATTAAATTATCTTTCCATTGATATATAATTTTATGGTATTACTCCCCCCAAAAAAGTGGTGTTATTAGCTAGTTTTAGAAAATACACTTATTTATTTATTATTATTTATTTTATTAATCATATTTCTATGCCGCCCACTCTCCGAGGACTCTGGGCGGCTTACAACAATTGACAGTATACTAAACAGCATATTGCCCCCAACAATCTGGGTCCTCATTTTACCCACCTCAGAAGGATGGAAGACTGAGTCAACCTTGAGCCGATGAGATTTGATCTGCTGATCTGCTGAACTAGCAGTCAGCTGAAGTAGCTGCAGTACAGCACTCTAACCACTGTACCACCTCACCCTTTTGGGGAAACCTTTCCCCAAAAGGTTTCCACAATTTTGGCTACTACTGTATCTTGCTCTCTCTTCTATCTTCCCAAGATCTATCAGGCTTTCTCCTCATGCTACTGCTCCTTAATGACTCTCTTTAGTGGTAATTTAAAAAAAACACCTGTTTCTAGTGATTTGCTAGCATTGGGTATATCCCTTAATTTGGGACACATGGGAATAATGTTGCTCCATAGAAAGCAAAGCACATTTTGTCAGTGAGCTTCATTGAAAAGTGGGGCTGTACCATGAATCTATGGGAAACAGCATTTGCTTTCCCGAGTCATCTTTTACTCAGGTGAACAAATGGAGTAAAGGGCGGGAACTTGGTTTTTAAACACAGTACAAACTTGGTTGATGCTTGGCTATGCAAAATGCGCTGGAGTAAATGAGAAGAGCTCTCCTATTCATTCAGAGGTGGCTTGCATAGGAGTAAATATTATTATTTATTATTATTATATTATTATTAAATATTAGGAGCCTGGATAGCTCAGCAGACTAATGCATTGTAATTTAACTCCAGCTGTCTGCAATTAGTAAGTTTGAATCTTGCCAGGCTCAAGGTTGACTCAGCCTTCCATCCTTTCTAAGGTAGGTAAATTGAGGACCCAGTTTGTGGGGGCAATAAGATGACTTTGTAAAAATATACAAAAGTGTGAAGGCTATTGCTTAACACATTGTAAGCCGCCCTGAGTCTCCAGAGAAGGGTATCTATCTATCTATCTATCTATCTATCTATCTATCTATCTATCTATCTATGTCTTTTTGTTTTTTTCTTTACAAGCAAATCCTGTTAGCCTATTTAATGACTTAAGGTGATTCATTATGGAATTTGTTCTGTATTTGTCTGTGAAAGCAACGCATGGGCTCTGCTGTTTTAATCCAATTGGGACAAAGCCTTGGTCTTGTTAGAGGTAAATGGAAGTCAAAACTATTTCAGCATAAAATGATTTCAAACCTTTTTAAACAAAAATAATGATAGGGATGTAGGTTTGGCAGGCAAAGAACATTTTCATAATTAAAAACAACAACAGTGGAGCAGTTGTCATTTGCAAAACTGTTAAAAGGAATGCTATGCTGACAGATTGAGCCGAAACTGTACGAAGTTAGCACAGACTGCTCTCCTTCAAGCCAAAACTAATGTATGATTTCATTGCAGACTGTTTAGGAACTCCCACAGTTTTGTAATTTGCCCTAGCCTATTGCAACAAGAGACAGAATGCTATGCAGGTCGTGTTTAGCTGGAAGAAAATCCAGCTTTTCTATCAGCGTTACATTGTTTTTTCCTGCCTTAACATCTACTGGGAGGTGCTTGTCACCTCTGTAAAAAAATATAAACATACATTTCCCAGTTGGAAATTTGGCAGCTCTACTTGGAAAAGCTTATATCCCGTGGCAATACCTTTAATACCATCAAACATCCACATCTGCCTATCCCGGGTCCTTGAGATGAACTCGTAGGGGTTAAAAATACTAAATCCAGTCTGAAACATCTGTCTGTGTGACAAACTATAATAAAATTAAATCTATAAGCTGACCAATTGCCAGCCACTTGGGGTGGTGCATTGGCCTCCTTCTTTGTCAACATGTCCTTAACTTTTCTAACATTGATTTTTATTTAATTTGCATGACTCTGCCTGACAAGAGTTTTTGCCTTTGCAGTATTTTAACAAACCGGAAAGGTGCTGGGCTCCCCTGTACCCTTTGAAGACACTGACCGGACACATGTAAACCCCACTTACATGCCCCACAGCTTTCAGCAGACTACAAACTCAGCTCCATTCATAGAGCATGAAATGTAGTGTTACATTGAGCGGATAAAGCGAAGCCAATTCTTTTGATTTATGTTTATGAATGCAGACAGAGAAAGTAGGCTAACATAAGCTTGGAAAAACAGATAAATTCAGAAACAGAGACGCCCAAGAAAAGCAGTCTGAAAATCGAAAACAAGAAATGACTTACAAAACGGTTCATCTGGGAGCATCGGATTATGTGTGTGTGTATCAAAGAAGTCAAAAAGGAAATCATAACTCTATGGTCAAAGCCTTACATGTTAAAAAAAAGGATGAGGCATCAATCATGTGGTTGTAGCCACAATCTTTACTTGTTTTTGACACACACACACACCCTTCCCCCCATCCAGAAGCTCCCAGATCAGCCATCCCTTGATAACAAATAGCAAATAGACCATCTGTACAATTCTTCAAAGCCAAAGGGGGAAAAATATGAGAAAAAAAAGAACTTACCCATCGTATTTCTCCAGATGAATTTCAAGTAAGTTATCCTTAGCATGATTGGCATGTTCGGTGACTACATGAGGGGAAAAAAATGGACTGGTAGTTTAAGACATATTTTTACAAAGATATGGATCAAATCAGCTACACTCATGAAATAATTTCTGAAAGTATATTTGAAAATACATAACTAATATCGATGATTACTTAGAATGGTTTTGGTTGAGGTTCATTTTTTTTCCCCGGCTAATGGAAAATGCATTTCTGTCTGATATTTTTATGGCTGAAGCCCTTGCTTCATTTGACTTTGTATTTTCTAAAAGATTCTTGTAATTCAAAAATAAAATTTGTGAGGGTGCATTTTTATCTTCTTTGGCAACGTTTCTTTTAGCATTACCACTTTCCCCTTTTCTAAATGTCTAGGTCCACCAATGCCAGTTCATTTCTGAAGGGGGTGAGATATTTATTTATTTATTTATTAAATTTATATACCGCCCTATTCCTAAGGGATTCAGGGCGGTGAACAGCGAACGATAAAAATACATGTAATACAAACGTTAATAAAAAACCAATTAAAATATACTAAACACTCTGGTCCTAGATAATTCAAGACATCCCAGTTTAAAATAAAATCAAAAAGCAATATAAAGGGAAAGTTAGGCCAGGCCGGCCTGCTGAAACAGGAATGTTTTGAGGGCACGGCGGAAAGTGCGCAGATCCATAATCTTCTGTATCTCTGGGGGGAGCTCGTTCCAGATGGAGGGTGCCCTCACAGAAAAGGCTCTCCCCCTGGGGGCCGCCAGTCGACACTGTTTGGCTGACGGCACCCTGAGAAGCCCCTCTCTATGGGAGCGTACTGGGCGGTGAGAGGCTATTGGTGGCAGAAGGCTACCAATATTCATGACATCTCTCAAAACTGGAGTTTTATCCACCAAAATGGATGGAGACACCCAGTAAATTTTATTTTATTTAGTTCATAGATTTAGGTAACGGCCCATTCAAATATATGACCTTGGATAAATAACAGCTCATTTATCTCTGTGGCCAGTCAAATCTGTTTTAGAAGTGAAGATTTGGGACCAGAATGGGGCTCAAATCTATCCACAGCCCTGGAAATTCACAATTTGACTAATACTAATTACATTTCCTCAGTTCAACTTACTTCCTAGAGTTGTTTTTGTGTAGGTAATATGAAGAAATATATGAAGAGATATAAATTTATCAAACAAAATAATGGAGTGAAAACACCTCCACCAGCAAATACTACACAATGCCTGTGTAAACCATGTTGACACAACACTGATCTGTTAAATAAGTGAGATGTACACAAGAATCTTCATTATAGTAGTCAATTTAGCAATTGTAATTTCTTGAGGCAAATCCATTGTTTCAGAGGCAGAAAACGAGCCATTACAGTAATATAACAAAGCTAGTATTAAGCAGTTGTGCAAAAGAAAGCACTGAAAAAGTCAACAACTAAGTGGCAATCAAGTACTTTAAAAGAGTAAAGCAAAACCTCTGGAATGAAAATGCAGCTTAGCTGGTAATGAGTAGAATCTTAAACAAGCAGGCATTCAGAAAAAAATAGCTATTTTTTACATAGATAGATAATTTGTGGGAGGTACTTAGCATTCCGGCAGATGCTTTTGCTTAATCATTTAGAAGCATTTCTCAGCAATATAGTAATCATTGGGGTTTAATGAAAAGTGGCTCAGCAAGAGAGGAAGATGCTAAATTTCTACTTAGCAATATTGCTTCTCAAAATGGTCTACTGTATGTCACAATGTGAATGTGTATCAGGACACCAAATGTACCTCCTAGATCAGTGATGGCTAACCCTTTCTGGACCGAGTGCCCAAAATGCAATGCGTGCGCAGCCTCCGTGCACGCCTCCCATGCATGCACGTGCGGCCACCCGCACGCGCATGCACAGCAGACCCGACGACCAGCTGGCCGGCGGGAGGCGCGCATGCATGCATGTGCAGTGGAACTGAACTGCGGCGACAGCTCGCGTGTCCACAGAGAGGGCGCTGCGTGCCACCTGCGGCACACGTGCCATAGGTTCGCCATCACGGTCCTAGATGAATACATCCGTATTTAGCAATATGTTGGCACAGGAGTCTTCAGATTAGTGACACAACTTTGATTGGAATTCTGTAATGGTATGTGGGAGATAGGAAGAAGAACCTCAGCCTAGGTGACAGTCAGATAAGAGGCAGCTGAATCAGCAGAAGGAATGGGGGCTGTGGCAAACATCTCAAAAAGTCCAAAATTATGGGCCACAGTTGAGTATAATTAAACAAGGCAGCCAATCAATTGGCTTAATTGTGTCAAGATCTGCATGTGTTCTTCAAGTTCAAGATGAAAAATTGAAAGACCTCTTTATGTTAACAAGTATCTTGGAATTTCAATAACCCCAGAAACCACTTGCCAGACTATTTCTAAAAGTAACTTTCTCAAACTTGGTGTAATATAAGTACATTACGACTACAACTTCTCAATTTCGTCAATGTTTCTGGCAGGCACCGAATTGGGGGAAATCTGCTGTATGAGGAAACTATAATGCTGTAATTCAAGACAGAGGAATCAGTAAATTCAAATGAATAACTCACCTATAACATCAGTAGAGATGGAAGCCAGACTAAACAATGGAGCCACTTTTTGTTCGTATATTTTTTCTCCTTGTGATTTTCCACTGTGTGGATTAATATATACAAGCAAGCGCTTTGGTCTGGAGGCTGCCAACATGAAGGAGAGAAAGTGGGCCATGAGATTATTTGCCCTTTAGCTACTCTAAAAGCTGCTGAACGACAAATCCGCAAATCTCTCTTTCTGCTCAGGAAAGGGAATCTAAAGTGAAGTCCATTTTAACTCAGGATTTCCCAGTCATTACTGAAAGATTTCCAGAGGGAGAGCTGGCCAATAATTGAGTCCCATTATTGAAGTTTTCTCATTCTAAAGCCATTTCTTCCAGCATTCAAATGTTATTTAAGCTCATTAGTCTGCCTAGAAAATAGATAAAACCTTGTTAAGAATTGCATTCTCCATGATGTCAATAGCTGGAGAATTGATTGGAGTGTCTTCATATATTCCAACTAAATACACCTCAGCTAGTGTAAAGACAAGGAGGCCCTTCTACTGCTTGAAATATAAAGATCTGCTTGCACTTGTGCAATTTCTCATCTTATTGAAAATGTAGGTAATAACAGTGTGAGCCGCGGTTGCGCAGGGGTTAGAATGCAGCATTGCAGGCTAATTCTGCTGTCTGCCGACTGCCAGCAGTTCGGCAGTTCAAGTCTCACTGGCTCAAGGTTGGCTCAGCCTTCCATCCTTCCGAGGTCAGTAAAATGAGGACCCAGATTGTTGGGGACAATATGCTGATTCTGTAAACTGCTTAGAGAAGGCTGTAAAGCACTGTGAAGCGGTATATAAGTCTAAGTGCTATTGCTATTGCTAAAAGCTCCCATCATTACTGGCTTCATTTTTCTCCCCTTCTCAGAAATTGGTTAGGCCCTGAGGAAAACAACAACCACAAAGGAAAGGCATTTTTCATCTGCAACATACTCTGTAAATCAAGTAGTTCCCTCAGTGTACATATCCATTGATTACACAGATGTTCATCAATGCACCAGAAAGTCACTTCGCTGCACCGCCAGCGGTGATGCTGTGCCCTCTTTATGTAATACACTGCAAAAGATATACATACACAAATAAAAAGAAAATTACAGTTATGTACAAGCGACGTTGCTCTCCAAATATAACAACATGTAGCATTTACACAATACCTGAGAATTTTGAAAGAAATTCACAGTCCAATAGTTGTTTAAGGCCCCAGGTCCCGAGAAAAAGAAAAGGTTGCCAATCTGGGTAGGTGGGCAAGGAATTCATCATCAGATGAATCCTAGCCAATCTTTGAGATAGTGTCTTTTCCAAGTCAGGAAATTTTAGACTAAATTTATTTGCACTGGTATAAAATATTTGCCCATTTTAGAGCAAAAGACAAGGAATTCTGCTCCTTTTCTGCTCCCTGTTGTCCCAATTCCCACTGAACTGAATGGCTAGTGAGATGCACCAAAAAGGTGTAGTGCTGAACAAAGCCGTGAGAGAGCTGTGAAATTTGATTTAAGTCTAATTTTTTTTTTTCAAACTTTGTGACTTTTCAGATGTGTAAACTCCAGCTTCCAGAATTTCCCAGCCCACATGTTGATTAGGGAATTCTGGGCGCTGAAGTCCACATACCTTAAAGTTGTCAAGATTGAAAAAGAGTGATCTAAATTGAATCGGATAAGTTAAATAAGGTTTACTGCATCCCATGCATTAAAGAGTTTCCCCCTTTCATTCAATACACAATCACATTCCAGCAGCAGCTATTGGAGAGGATTATATTTCTAAGGTTTCTAGGGAAATACAGTCCACAGCAACTTATCAATTTATCCTAGAAAATAACTGAGGACCAGGGTTAAGGTGTTGGATTAAGAGTGGGGAGGCCCAGCTTGTAATCCACCTTCATTCACAGATGTTCTCTGAGTGACTTTGCATTGGTCCTTTATTCCCCCCCCCCAACCTTAAAAAGTTGTTGTTGTGAAAAAAAAGATGAGGGCATGCTAACTACACTGTCTTCAGCTAAATGAATAAATTCATTTGTCTTGTTTTCTGCATATTGATTCTGTCTTGTTTTCTGCATATTATTTATGGATGAAAAGAAATGAAGAATGTGTTGGCTCTGGATACTTGACTGATTTCTTGCATATCTAACTTACTTGTTTCTCTGAGAATTCCATGTTGGGGGGCTCCCCTCATTTTATTCCCATAACCACCACCTTGTAAAGATAGACTGAAATCAAACAAACTGTATGTTATTAAGTGGGGGTTAAACCTGGTGTCTATGGTCCAAATCCAATACTCAACCATTATACCAACAGCACAAATTTATTTGTGGGTCCAATTTTTTTTTTCAGTTACTAATCTACAGAAATTTTTTGTGATATGGAAAATCATAGAAATTGGTTGAGGTTTCCCAATTAAAAATTCATTGTACAAAGCAAAGGGACGGTGCTTTTAAATCTGTAAAAAGGTCACTTTTTTAAAAAAAGAATCTTTCAATGCTTAAGAAAACCATTTGTTACAGATGGTCATGGATCTGCTGCAAACTCGCATAAGCATCAGGAAGGACATCCAGCCAGTAAATGCTCAGCTCCAGTCAGTTGCCCTGACTCTACCCCGATTTAGGGGATTACACGGTTGTAAAAAGAGAGTTTATTGTGTATTATGTAAATACTATAAAAGTCAGGCAAATGTTACTCTGCGGCATTTACAAAAGTCTTGAAAACGGAACAGGCTGCATGACAGAATTTCAGAGTTCAAGAAGCCACATAGCAAGAGATGAAGTATGAAAATGAAAGAAAAGGTCTTTAAAAGACATCTTAATAATCTCCTTTCTGCAAAGAAGGATTTCTGCATAGAAATAATTTTGGATGCTCCACTGTAGCAAATGTGGGGGAAAGGTTGAGTGAATTCAGATCTTCTGTCAAGTAATAATTTAGTTCAATTGGCATGTAACCTCTTGATAAGGCAGTCACAATTGTAGCTACTGCAGAAGAGGAATATTAAGTTTCATCAATTTTCTCTTCTCTCTCTCTCTCCCTCCCTCCCTCTTTCTCTCACTCTCTCTCAGGAAGTTATGTGAATCCAGCTTGTTTGATTCCATATATTATGCAAACCTAGCATGTTAATAATTTTAAAACTATTTGCACTAAAATGTGGCTTATTTTTTTTTTTACCGGTGAACGCATGAGGCTTTGCCATTTTCTGCCATCTTCCAGGATGAGATTGTTTCGCCTCCCTTTCTTTCCCCTCAACAGCAATGATCTCAGAAATGGGCACAGCATAACTCTCTGCAAAAAAAAAAAAGGGAAGAGTTGTAAAATAAACAAACAGCCTAGCTGGACCCAAAGGAATCTCTTGCGCGGCATTTTCTGCTTCTGCTGGGCAACGACATCTCTGTAGGGAGCATTTTTTACGCATTCACTTCAGAGGATATTTAAATCAAGCATGTTGCCGAAGAAAAGCTGAAAAATAAACTCTCAAAATACATTCCGTGAAAGGAACGGATGTCTGTGGGGAGTGATATAGTTTTTTTTATAATCAGAAACTGTAAGTCAAAATATCCTGTTCAGAGGATTGAGAAAACACATGTGACATTTTATAAACACATGAGACAGGTTGGAATAACAAGGTGGATCAAAGGTATTAGGAGATGGTCCCCAACATATGTACCACACAATATTTTTTTTTGATAGAGGCAAAAACGAAAGGATTCCATTATGGGAAACTTGGAGGAATAATGGATGGAGGAAGGAATCCAAGTGGCATGTACTGTATATTGATTTTACTCTCATTTTGAAATGTGGAAAGAGATCAGTGATGGGATACAGTACAGTTCTTCTCAACCTTGGCAACTTTTAAGATGTGTGGACATCAACTCCGGGAATCCTCCCAGCCAGCCTTTGGTTGTTAAACACTGATCTAGTAATTCAGTATTATTTTACGAGTTCTCAGCCTTAGACTCTTTGTGCCCCAGATAAGAAGATGGCAATCTTTATAGGATAATACACACTTTGCGGAAATGTTTATTATCATAGGAGAAAAGAACTAAAGTAAAATCTTCCCCAAAGCTCCTGGTGCCTTCATGCCACCATGGTCCCGTGAGTGTCTGGACCACTGGATAGAAATGGTTTGTCACTGCCACTTTTTCAACCTACAACTCTGGGAATTCCTAGTACTCATCTAAATACTACCCAGGACTTTGGGTGCTTAGTATATCAAATTAGTAGCTATTAGACCAGGGATCTGCAACCTTAAACAATCAAAGAGCCATTTGGACCCGTTTCCCACAGAAAAGGACACACCAGGAGCCACAAAACACTTCCCGTGCCTGACTATTTTTTGAGCGGCCACAAAACTAGCATATGTAATTGAATTAAATGTTATGTTTTCTTCTGAAACTTTTCTTTTCTTGGATTTATCCATGGTTGGCCTACCGGGGGTTGAAAATCACATGCCGCCAGATGTTGCACATTGGCAGTTGTGACACATATTTTGAGTGACAGGGAGCCACAGCAGAGGGGTGAAAGAGCCACATGCAGCTCCAGAGCCGCGGGCTGCTGACCCCTGTATTAGACCTATGTACCTGCAGAAATTATTCTATAAACTTGCTTCAAACATTAGATCAGGGGTGTCAAACTTGCGGTGTCACATTGTCGTCATGTGATGTATCACAACTTTCCCCCCCCTTCACTAAAATGGGGTGGGCGTGGCCAGCGTATGACGCATCCAGGACGCAGACCGTGAGTTTGACACCCCTGCATTAGATGAAGACAACATCTCTCTCTTATTCATTAAATCTTTTTTTCCAGGCTCTGCATCAGTTTTAAGAGTTACACTAAAGACAGACTGCTTTCATGCTTTGAGTGCAAATTGTAAGACAAGAAGCCATTCCCCCCCCCCCCCAAATCATTTTCAAAGCAAGCCCAGCCCTAAGTAATTATGCCAAGAGCATAATAAGATTTGGGCTGAAATGAAAACCGCCACAAGGTAGGTTCTTGCTACCATGATTTAGGAGTTTATGACGATATCAGCTTCATAAAAGAAAAGAACAGTTGCAAGCAGCTAAGGTCTATGAATAAAATCTATTCTTCATGGCTTTGAGTAAAATTTAGAATCTGGATCTGTGCCTTATAGTTCAGTATAACCGCCCAAAGTCTCTCCTTGAGGGTGCTGGGAGGTTTAGAAACATGAAGTATAAATAAATAAATAAATAAATAAATTACAAACAAACAAATGTATATCATGGCTGTCAAAAACAGGACTATTTATAGGAGGTGAAAAAATAGAATGTGGGAGAAAATTTTCAGATGATTCTCTCCAAAAGATCCCTTGCTTTAAAATTATGTCAGTAAGTGCTATGTGCGTTCATTTATTTAGGATGAATCTTTTTTTGTTGTTGTTCAAATCCATATAGTTGCATTGTTCTGGAAAGACTACATTTAGCTAAACTCTGTTTGTTTCAAAAACAACAATGAACTGCAAACACAGAGCTTATTTTAGCTCTGAATCCATGCATAGCAACCAGCGTGTTAATCCTGGTACAAAGCTCTGTCTCTGAGTCCTGACTGATTAAAGTAGTATGCTTTAGACCTGGTGATTTTAAAATCAATTTTAACATTTGGCCGGGAAATTCTATTGGATGAAATCCACTCATTTTAGAGTTAAAGTTAAACTTAAAATATATTAGGGTTGGCAAATCAGTAAGAGAAAGCTGATGCCTACAATGTGTAGAAGATCAAGAAAGGGAGGAAATGCTAAAGATATTAAAGGGCAGACAAGACATGACAGAGGAAGTGATTCATATATGTGGGTATATGCATACTTTTGTATTTATTTATTGTCATTTTTATGTAGTATATATTGGAGGTGGTGACCCTTTGAGAGCTGTATGCAACAAAATTTCATTTTAATGTATGCGGATTAATGTATATTCAAAGTTACAATAAAGTCATTCATTCATTCATTCATTCATTCATTCATTCATTCTTTTTGTCTGTCTGTCTTCTATCTATCTATCTATCTATCTATCTATCTATCTATCTATCTATCTATCTATCATTTATCTATCTATCTATCTATCGTATCTACCATCTTAACTAAAATTTAAAAATCAAGGGAAATAACTAGGAACAAAATGTACTCCAGCATTTGTGACTATGAGGGATAGTTTTCCCAAGTCTTTTTGTCATTAAAGGGAACATCACATACCCCTTTTACTCCAGCGTCTCTGTAGGTACCAATCCCTGGCTAGCTTCATCGGAGTTTGAATGCTATGCAGATTTAGCTTCCAAGTCTTACATTAGAACTCTGCCATGAATGCATGTCTTGGAACTGTTCAGAGAAATTGGTGTGCTATTCTTGGATTGCCTCTTTGCTAGTAAACACATGTCATACCATAAGATCTGAACAGACCCAAACATTAATATCACCCTTCAAAACTATAGTTTATTTAACCATGACTTGTTGAGTAAGCCACAATTACAACTGCTTGTTAAACTATAACCAATAAGTTCTGAGTGCTCATTCAAAAAAAAAAACTATTTTATTGCAATACATGAACTCAGCAGATCCCAGCACCAGGGAAATCCCAAGTAGGTGGGTTTTAACAAAATTCCTGAAAAAAGCAATAGCAAGCTATTTCCATATTATTGTCACAAAAATTACAAGACGTTGCCAGCACCGAGTTTAATTCAGGCAGACTTTCCTTATTTACAAATCATATGAGCCAACATCTCTCCCAGCCCTTCCACTCTTGAGGAAAAAGTGGTTTTCTTGCTGGACAACTGCAGCTTTTCTGCTTTTTTCTCAAGACTCAAAGGAGGGAGCTTTTTATTTGCTGTTTCACTATACACACAGTGGACTGAAATATAATTTTCCCCTGCCTAAAACAGTCACCTTGCCCCCTATGATGAATGAGAAACTTCTCTAAGAAGCATAAAAAACTGGGGTGCACCCACCTTGCTTTAGGACTGGATTAATATATCTTGTAGACTGCCAGTCTGGTAAAACCTCTTGTGAAGTAGTCAAGATTTTTGGCTGACTGTCAAGTCATACAAAGTTAATAGTCGGAAAGAAAGCTAAGGTTTTCTATTAGTTCTGCCAATTTAGTGGATGTCAGTTGCAGAAAATATCATAAATTCAAAGTAATTCCAAAAATACTGAATGCAGTGTACTGAAATTACTGAATCTACCATAAGAAATACTGAAAATACAGTAGCAGAAAGTATCTTGGAAAATACCAATAGCGGGTTTTTTTTTTGTTTTTTTTTTTTGTAAAGGAAGATTCATCCCATCTAAAGAAATGCATAATCTATAAATTCAAAATACTAAAACGTCTTAAAATTAAGTTCTGTTAAAGCCAGGTACATTTCCTCCAAAAATTGGAGGAAATCTTAGGGAGAAATTCCCTTCTTCCCTTCAGCAGCACTCTCTCTCTCTCTCTCTCTGCACAACAGAACACATGTTAATTGAATCATGGTTTATTAAATTTACCTATCGTGTTTCCCTGAAAATAAGACCCTGTCTTATATTTTTTTGAACTCTGAAATAAGCGCTTGGCCTTATTGCCATGCGCTCAAAAGCCCGATTGGGCTTATTATCAGGGGATGTCTTATTTTGGGGGAAACAGGGTAACACACTGAAATATGAACTAGCCATTCTGTCCTGAGTTCACACAACCTGGGTATCAAACAAACTAATGTGTTGTACCAATACAACATGGAGGCTGACCTCCATGTAGTATTGGTACAATACATTAGTTGTATTGGGACAATACATTGGGGGGGGGGGGGGGGTCAGGAGGTCTTCCCGCTGAATCAATGGATTAAACAAATTTAATTGTGGGGTCCTTGGTGCTCTCTGAGCTCGGTTGTTTTCTTGCAGATGTTTCATCACCCAAACTAGATAACATCATCAGTGTTAGTTGGGAGTGTGATTTGCTCTCATTTTATATAATAGTGGCTTGCTCTGTCAGTATTGGTGGGAGTGGCCTTGGGGGTTTCTTGACTGGGCACTAGTTTACCGTTGGTCTACTTATCTGAATTGGTAGTTCCTTGATTGGGGTATTGTTTACTTCTTGATTGTTGGTCTAATGTTAATCTTGGTGTTAATCTCTGCTCATCTGGGTGTTGATTGCTGGTGAGGAGGTGTTTCAGACTTTTTGATTGTCATTTGAATGGTATGTAGATGTTGTTTATCTTTATGTGCCTGTTGATGATTAATCTGCCTGAGTGCCAGCCTTCTAGGAATTCTCTAACTTGTTTGGACTTGGCTTGTTCTAGGATGGTCA